TGTGATTTTTACTACTCGTTTTTATGACTTTCATACTAGGTTTTCTTCCTTTATTTTTCTTGCAAGTTTATTTAAATCTGCTGCAAATTATATTATGCTCGCAACATTAATCACGCAACAGTAGCAGATGCCCATGTACGTTTTTACAGTTTATCTACAACATTTTACTTTATTGCATTTTACCTTTCAAGTACATTTTGATTACTTGCGATTTGCTTATTCTGCATGCAAAACCAGAATTGAAACCAAAATCAAACAAAACAAAATCAAACATTGACACCAAAACTGTGAAGCGTAAACTACTAATCTCAAGCACTTAAACTCTGAAGTCATCGCTACAACAAGAGCTTGGAGCCAACTTTGTGGGCATCACGACGAGGAGCTTGAAGCGAGCAACAAGAGGATCTTCTTCAGCATTATCCCTTCCTAGTATAATGACAACCCATAGGGATTCGAGGTAGCTCGTCTAGCGCGACGTAAATCTTCACACTCCCTTTTTAGGCCCTTGTACAGCCATGTTGTGCAGCGTAAGTCCTAACTCGACTTAAGTTCCAAGGTTGTCGTACGGTACGACGTAAACCCTCATATCTTTGTGGGTTATTTGCATAATCAGACATTATGCAAATGTAAGTCCCAAATAATAAAATTGGCAGGATTGAATAATTGAATAACATCATCTCTAAAAATGCAGCCACACAGTATGATAGTCTGGGAAGTCACTGAGATTTCTCCTCATGATCTATGACATCCCCTACCTGTTCCTTTCTTTGGACTCCTGAAATAATTGTTCATAATTGAGCCACTCCCATTTGCCCTTCCACGTCCTATCGTGAAAACCTAAACTTTGGAATCTTGAAGACTAATACCTCTGATTATTATCGAGAGTTTTCTCAATTGACCCTAGTCATTTGAGATGTAATTAACTATAAGGGTTTGCCTTTATAGGGAACTTGGAACCGAGGTAAAATAAACCCTATTTAATCTTTGTATTAGATAGGTGAACTTGTCGGTTATATATTTTTGAGCCTAGTGGAACAAATTTTTAAGTATAATGATATATTCTACCAAATGGAAGGGTTAAGTTGGTTGGTATTAAACTCAAAAGAGCTTTTCTCTATGGTAGAAGTTGACCGACAGTTGGTTGGTATTAAACTCAAAAGAGCTTTTCTCTATGGTAGAAGAATTTGCTATGTATGTGCTAATGTGAGGAGGATAGCAAAATCATGACTTGGGTCTAAAATGAAAAAAGGAGATGCAACATTAATTCCTTCCATCATACTATCGATAAGATGGATTTTTGAGCCTTCACAATCAACAACAAAGGGGTTTTTCTGTGGAGTATTACACAGTTGAATTTGAACAACTCATGTTGAAATGTTGGTTAATGAAGCCAGATGAAAATGCGGTTGCACAAACCATATTGGTCTTTGTTAAATGTACAAACCTTAGACTTGAAAGTGAAGTGGTACAATAATATCAGATCCACTCTATATTTGAAACGATGAAGCCAGATGAAAATACGGTCGCACAAACCATATTGGTCTTTGTTAATTGTACAAACCTTAGACTTGAAAGTGAAGCGGTACAATAATATCAGATCCACTCTATATTTGAAACATGGCTCATCTCTTTGGTTAGGCAGCAATGGCCCCCTATTATAGGGCTAAAGTTAGTCCCACAGAAGGAGAGAACAGTTTGAGGTGGAGAAAAAAGTGATCGGGCTAGCACCCGTAAGAATTCTCTAGCCTGAAAGAGCTTCAAATTTCATAGATATAAACACATTGCCTCCAAATGTTCAAACATGGCGGTGATTTTCTTTATTGAGCATGGAGTGTCAGTTTCATGAACTAGCCCAACCCCAAATGTTCAATTACGATAGAGGTGATTATGAACTAGCCCAACCCACTACTTTCACTCAAGTGCGTCAGTTTCATGGGTTAGCTTCATTCTACCGTAGATTCTTTAGAAATTTCAATTTTATAGCGACATCACTAACAAAAATTTGTAAGGTCTACCCCGTGTTTAGATAGTGCAAGGTGTGTTATCTTGTTAAAGGTCAAGGGCAAAATATGAGTCTCTATATGTCACTTCTTGTCTGAGTTAACTCAAGTGGATGTGATCATAAGTTTCATTATAGGTCTACCCCGAGCACAACAAAGCTGATATATTTTGTACCTTTAAGATAGTATATCGCTTCTTTAAGATGTATATGGGTTAGCTTCTATTATAATGGTAGTATATCGCTTCTTTAAGATAATGGTTCTATTATAATGGTAGTATATCGCTTCTTTAAGATGATATATTTTGTACCTTGTCATAACGAGATGGATGCTTCACATATTTTTGATATTTACTTTAGAGAAATAATATGTCTTCATGTTGTGCCAATAAGCATCACTTTAGATAAGGATATGAAGTTTCTGTCATTTTTTGGAGTACCTTTTGGGAGAAGATAGGTAAGCAGCTTTAATTCAGTTCATTAGATCAAACTCAGATAGATGGACAAACGAAAGTGGTATATTATAACTTGAAAATCTTCTCAAGTGTTTTATGGGCAAAGCACTGGACAATGAAACGTAATTTTTTTCGTGGATTGAGTTGCTTATAAAAAATCCAGTAGCTATTCTATAGGCCATAGTGTTTTCTAGATATTTTTTTGGCAGAAATTCTCACACTTTTGGAGTTAATGCCTATACTCCGAGTTATTGCGTTTAGTACTAACACAGACTAAATTCGTCAAGGAGATGTTGATTTTACTAGAGAAATTAAAGGAGGAAATCACCAATCAGAATATTATTATATTAAGCATAAAAAATAAGTTAATAAGTCCAAAAATATTATGATATTCAAGGTAGGTAACTTACTGTGGATTAGGTTGAAGAGAGGTTTCTTGTAGGCTCGTTTGGGGTGCCAAATCTAGAGGTAATGGTCTATTTAAGATAGTCAAGGTGATCAATGACAATGATTATAAGATTGACTCAACTAGTTATTACAACATTTCTGTCACCTTTTATGTTGCTGAGTTGTCATCTTACTATGAGGATTTGGATGCTTCAAGTGAAGAAGGCAAATCCTCTCCTACACAAGAAGTATAATGCGGACGTCTGTGCTGAATTGCGTATCTGTGAAACAAGAAGGTTTGAATTTGTTTGGGATCAATTAAAATTCTTGGTCTGTCTAGGTGTCTCGCCCAATAGGGCAGGCTAATACCCCCTCTACCTCAAGCTTTATTTACCTTACTTAGGAGTAAAATTATAGTTAATTATTATTTTTAGTATAAATATGTTTTGAAGATTGTGAGGGACTTTTGTTTTCTATTGTATGAAATTGGAGCTTTTTTGCCTTTCTCTCTAATTGGATAGCTATTTCCTCTTCTCTATGAAGTGGTGTGACTGTAGCTTGATAGATAATTGGTGGTGGATTCTTCTCAACTTTCGTATATCTCCTACCTGACCGCCGGCCCTCTTTTCCTTAACTATTTTCCTTCAAATAACTATATGTTAGTATAGTTGTCGTATACCTTCATAGTTTTTTTCTAAAATGTGGCTAGATTTTATGTTGATATGGAGGCTATGCCTCCAGATAGAGCGATTTGTATTGAGCCCTCTCTTATGGATTTTGGTAAAATGTTAAATTTGAAAGCAATCCATTGTGCTGCACCTCTTGTAAAAGTTTCATGCATAAATATTTTGATTGCTTTAAAGCTCACCCAGTATTGAGGAAATTATGTTCTCTTAATTCAGATGGTGAAGTTCACAAGGAGAATATGGATAACCAAAATCTATTAGCACACATGGAGAATGTTGCTCCATCCTCTTCAGATTATTGAGGAGAAATTCTTGATGGATCTATGGGATCAATGCCTTCAGATCCTTTCCCTAGATATCATAACCTCTTCTCTTTACAACTTCAATATTATGAATCCTCTAGCTAAGCTAACCTCTCTTTTCATCACATATTTGAAATAGCTTCTATTATTGAAACTTAAGTAGTTGGGGAGATTTATACCGTGTTTTTCAAGGGAGGCGGAAATAAGAAAAAAAATTCATCATCATTCTCTAGCAATGTGTCAAAATTGAGACCTTGTGATGATATCTTTACCTTTTAGATGCATAATTTCTACTTTGTCATTGAATTATAT